AATGAGGGACTTCAAACCATCTCCCATGAATCATGGAAAAGGAAGTGTTGCAGGACAACTGACACCAGTGGAATACAACCGACTAAGAGTGTCGGAGACAGTGTCGATAGATGAACCCACCGGTGGATACATGGAGATGTTGGAATACCGGAACTCGGCTAGAGGGTATGTAGTGGCCCTGGAAGACGAAAAAGCCATGGAGGGTTATCTGGAAATGATGTTGCAAGGCACCACCCTCAAGCAGAAGGCGTATGGAACTTTGGCGTCGTCTGACGTAGAGGCGGAGACGATCGAGCAGTTAGTGAGCCTTCCATGGAAAGCAGTAGTATTGAGGTATTTCGAAGAAGAAATGAGGACTACGCCAAGAATACATGCTCTCGTGGCAGTACCTTACGTAAGGACAGAATTACAACTCAGGATCGCCTGGTGCATGATGGGACTGACTCGCGAAGAATTTGATTCAGAAGAAAGGAAGAGATCAAAGGAGGAAAAAGTTTTCCTTATGACGAATCTGAGGGATCTGATAGTCCAGGAGGGAGCAGCAGTAGCGTGTGCAAAGCGGAGAGACGCTCTCTGTTTCATTCGATTCCTGATAGAGCAGATCTCAGTACCTGCATTAAGCACTTGTGTTAAAATGTTAAGGGAAGGCGATGAGCGAACGAAAGCCATGTTCTTACTAGCAATGCTGGATATGCAGCAAAGTAAACCGATGAGGGTGAACATGAAAGAACCTGAAGAATTGGAACCCATGAAAAAGATAGACGAGATCAGGAGATTCTCAAACAAGGAGTTGAGGCTCACTAAAGAATCTATGGGAGCATTGCCGAAATCCAGTGAATACTGTGGACCGATCAAGAAGAAGTCATATAGCTATGTGTCCGGGATTATAGGGATAGCATACAATCCTTTCCTGAGTGAAGACATACGCGATTGCTTCTTTGATTATGAGCAGGCGGTGTTACTAAGATTCTGGACGTCCAGAATTGTGACGACTAAGAGCGTTAACAATCCACAGGCCAAATTGGTATTGGTATTGGAAGAAGAGGTGACTGCACCTTCAATACCAAAATCCGACAAGAGAGTGGAATTTGGGTTGGGATTCTCAGATGAATTACTGAGAACGAGCTTGATGGCAGTGTGGGAATTGATGAAGCCATCATGGTGTCCTAGTCCCAACGCTGACTCAATATTACGGGCGACACAGGACATACAGAGGGAACTGAATGCGGACTGTAACCTGCGTGACCTCAACATCATATATAATGTGATGATAACAGCCTCTAAGAGCAACGGAGAAGATAGAGTGGAGTTGCCTGGCTGGGGACCAAAAGACTGGGTCAAACCTGGTAGCTGTCTGGCGGAAGTCTGTGGACTAGAGGGTCACGTTTGTGGAAGTCTAGACTGTGTGAAAACCCTGGAGAAACAACACAAGCAGTTGACAGTATTGTTTGGAAATGTAGTGATGAAAGCAAGAACGGAAACGGAACTGATAGCAGATTGCCATGGAGGAACCGATGTGAATCTAGTGACAGCACTAGGATTCTACAGCATGTTTGGTTCTTTAGAGTCACTATTGAATCTAGAACAGAAACATGAGATGGTCACAGCCATCAGCGTAGAAGTATTCCCAGGAGTTCTGCAGACTGAGCAGAAGTATATAGGAAAATGGAGGGAAGCAATCGAAACAGAGATGAACATCAGACACAGCGAAACTTATTGTAGACCATCAGGAGCACGATATTTGGTGGGTTCAACGTTGGCTCCAATGTGCAAGAGCAGATACCCTGTACATTTCGTGGCTGTGGACGTGAAGAGTACAAGAACGATCGTGGATCAAGCTTTCTCAGTGCCAAAGTGCGTGAGATTGGCGAGAATGTCTGAAAAGTCTTACGAGTTACTATGTAAGATGTTCTCAGCAGTTCCAGAGAGAACCAAAGAGGAGTTGGAGTCAATACTAGGAAAGAAGTTCATGGGATATGTGAGCGGGAACTTCAGTGACTTTGAAAACCAGAAACAGAGAGGATCAACTGTCACAGATTACAATGCAGTAGATGAGAATGATGAAATCCACCGAGTGATGATGGAAGTGGAACCATTGCTGGAAGCTTCAGGAAAACGCAATTGGAGTAGCATCATGTTGACACATGACGAGTTTCCTTGCCACTGCTTGCTGCAGACCTGGTGGTATCCCAAGCGTAGTAATTTGGTGTTGATCTGGGACTCTGGAGAGCTGCTCTCCATGGGTTTACCAGATTCATCACAGCCCATAACAATAGTGATAGTGGGAGTTATGATGGCGATACGATGGCTGGAAGCTCATGTGAAGGAGAACAATAGACAGGATGCACCAACGCGAGAACAATTGAAGAAATTGGATTGTCTAAAAGATTGAGATTTTTTTGAGACAACGTGCAAGATTCTGAACATTCCGATGGAAGTGAAAAAGATATGGGCAAGGAGACGACTGATGCCATGGTTTAGAGCCAACAAGACTGCATGGTTGTACGAGTATGCCAAGAAGCATATGTCGAAACATGGCAGAGTGTACAGTGAATATCAGCTGGACATTGGGGCAGGAGCTTTCAAGCGAGCTTTCGTGACCCATCGGAATGCAGTGACCACCGCTGTGAAAAGAATTTCCAGGACGAGCGAGCGTAGTGGAAATGAGAAGGCAGAGATGCTGAAAGAAGATTTGGAGAGAAACGTGACGTTGTGTCTCCACAACAGCTTCTGTAGAAACAGAGAATCAAACGTGGATCCCCTACCTTGCTGTAAACAGAGGGTGGAAGAGCAGAAGTGTTGGAGGACGGCTTCCAACAGCGTCAGGATAGTCAATGACGTGCTACAAGACACGGAAACCGAGAGTGCGGAGTCAGCGTCACAGGAGGAGGAAATGGAGCATTGACGAATGGTCGAGAAAACAAGAGGCGGCAAGAAAGAAAATTAGAAGAATTTAGAAGTTTTAGAACTTCTAAACGATGAAAAAAGAAGAGAACAAAGGGATGATGAAGAAAAGTTAAAACTCAGAATTGTTTTATGTGTGTGAAAAACTCAAGTGAGAAACCAAGCAACCAAGTTGTAATTGAAAACTGAAACATTTAGTTGAGTTTTGAAATTGTTGCATTTATAAATTTGCATTTTGGTTTTAGTTGAAGTGGCTTTAGAGACACTCACTTATTATTTATTTAGAAAGGCTTGAGGGAAGAGTATATTTAAATATTCCAGCCTGCATGATTGTTTTTAATCACTTAGGAAGACTGATCACTTTGTGGTGACATGAAAAACTTGAGTAGCTTCTTGAGGAGGGAGGTTGTTGCATTGTTCCTTCTAACCACAAAGTTTCTTAGTTTTAATATTCAGGACAATAAACAAGCAAGATTTCCGAAGGGAAGGAGCATAGTAGGATAATTTTAGCTTGTTGGTTGGCAGGACTGTCCTGCAAGCCAACACCTTTTAAATCTAGGAGAAAAAGTTCTAATCGGGACATTGACTCTGGAAGTCAGAAAAAATGTTTTATCTTAAGTCATATCCTCAATGTGCAGATTAATGAAGGAATTTGAAGGCTATAGTGATGTAGTATGATGCCATTTTTATTCTGCATTGAGTCGATGTGACGTAGATAAAAGTAATTTCGTGCATTTTGTAAATTCTGTTCGATGACACTGTAACCATTTAGAACATTGCGCGATTCAATGAGGACATTGACCGGACTGTCCGGGGAGTATGTGACATTCGACCAGAATGTCAAAAATGCAATCTCTGCAGAATTCGGAATTTTAGCAGTAAGCCTTCCGGATTGGTGGTTTTTAAGAACTAAGGGCGTTAATGGAACGTTTAGCCAAACGGTGAAGGCTGGAATATTCTAGTATTTTAAAATTTCAAAAATTCGAATGATGACGTCACTTTTCTGAGAAATGCTGAAATGGCCATTTTAACAAAAAGCGAGTGAAAAACAGAACAACTTTATCTGTGATTGCGAACAGAACGAAAATCGAGATTAAAGAAAAACAACAACGAACTACAATAGCAGAGAACGTTCCAAGTTGCAACTATTGTGCTGCTACAATAGTTGCAAGGCCGTTGCCAACAACGGTGAAGGGTGAGAACCAGCCTTCCGGATTGGTGTGAAATTGAACTTAAGGAGCTTGATTCACTGGATTCAAGAATCCGGAAGGGTTTCGGGACTGGAACTTTTAGCCTTTTATATAAACTTTTAGCTTCTTGTCATGTCCTGAATTGAATTTAATTAACAACTGGATTCATTTTGATAAGGATGAGAAGCTAGGAGTGGGGGAAAGGGTTGATCCATCTTCGATGGAGATGATGATTTTTATCTACTGAACAAAAACAATAGTAATATAATAAGTAGTAGCCCTGTTTTTAGGAGTGACCTCGTGGTCTGGGGATACTGAGACCCAGCCATGAGCTCACTATTTTTGCATGTAATTCAGTTAATTTGAGCGTTCTGGTCGAAGCCGGAGAGCAGTAACGTTTTTGTCGACCCGATGTAAGAAAGACCACCGAAAAGTACTGGCTTGGTAGAGACGGTGAAAAACATGCAAAGCTCTGTTTAGACGCTAGCCAGTCGTCTTAAGACTTAGTTTTGTTATCCGTCGATATGTATCTTCCGGGCGAATGTTACAAAAATAAACGAGGGTTCAAAACCCATGGAGAAATCCTAAAGCCTACCCTACTACTACTACATAAGCTAATCTGCGTGTTCTGGCCGATAGCACCAAAACAGTAATGATTTTGTCGACCGATGTTAAAGGACCACACATAGAAGTGGCTTTGGTAGAGACGGTTAAAAGCATATGAAGCTGTGTTTAGACGCTAGCCAGTCGTTTCATAACCTAGCTTTTTTTTCCGTCGATATGTACTGGCGAATGTTACCAGTGCGAAGCTCTGCATCCCCTTTGTGCAACCACTGAGTTAGCCCTGATAATTTGACGACAGATTTTATTTAAAAACATTAAGACGAGAAGAAAATGTTTATTGCGTGAAAATGTTTATTGCGTGCTTATTTTTCAGAGCAAATGCCTAGATCAAGTCGATCAAAATCGCGTGATAAAAGTGTGAGTCGAGAGAAGTCAAAAAAGTACAGAAAGAGATCAAGATCGCGCGATAAGCACAAGTCAAAGGAGTCTAAGGAAAAGAAAAGAAGATCCAGATCTTCGAGTGGTGAAAAAGATGTATTTGGTCGATCTGTTCATCGGAAGCGGCATATAACTGAAAAATCTAAAAAGGACGACGAGGAGAGGTCGAAGGAATTTGAGCGCTTGCGCCTTATGTAAGTTGCCATGGTTAAATGTTCAACCACTAAAAAGCCACAATGTTAGTGTGAAATGCATACTTTTTGATCAAAGAAAAATGATAGTTTGGTTTTAGAAGACAAAAAGAGATGGAGGAGCGTTTAGTCGAAGAAGAAGTTCAAAAGAAGATTCAAGAGAGAATTGCCGCTCGAGTTGAAGAGGAACTGGAAAAAAGAAGAGATGAAATTGAAGCTGAAGTTACGAAAAGAGTTGAGGAAGCAAAAGCTCGAATGGAAAACGAGTTGATGCGGGAACTAGAACACAAAAGGATACTGGAAGCTGAAAAACGAAGAAAAATAGAGGTGAAAAATATCCCATTGATTGCCAATAAACGATTTTTAAATTTGAACCGCTGTTGATTATGGAGAGAAAATTGAAGAAAGTCAAATGTGTGCCTGTAAACTGAATTGATTTGTTTGTTTTAGGAAGAAGAACGTCTGAAGCAAGAAGAACTTGAAAATATTATAGCGGAGAATCAGAAAAAAATTGAGGAGCAGCAGAAGAAAATGGTACTTGAAATTCTTAGTTCTTTTATGCTTGTCACTGTTATTTGAACATGCAAGGCGTTCGTTATTTTTACCTCTTTAATTACTGTGTTCGAAAGCTGTAACGAAAACTCAGTGTCGGTGGATATGCTTTCAGAGACAATACTTTCCTCCTTGTTTCCAGATGCCGGAACACTTTCCTTGCCCTTCAGCATTCACGAATCGTAACTATTTAAGGCCGTCGCGACACGAGAATGTTCACTCCGAAAGCTTTTGTTCCAGATTTGGTTGATCCGTAAATCATAGGATCGAAAATTTACCATATCAAGTAATGTATTATGGAGCGACTTAACAGAGGAGCGTTCATAGCTGGTTTGAGATTTTCATAAACTTAAAGAATTGCTTGAAAACGAAGTAACTCTAGGGCGAAATCTAGTTATTTTGCATGAACACTCGGAACTCAGATCGTTGTTTGTTTTTGCTTTATATTGTTACATGTTGCAACTTTAGGCCGAAGAGCAGCTTAGATTGGTGGAAGAGCAACGGAGAATAGCGGAAGAGCGAATGAAAATGGAACAAGAGGAGCGAGAACGAAAACAGAAGGAACTAGACATGGTGCTCGGAAAGAAAAACAGTCGACCCAAGCTATCCTTCAATCTCAACATGAAATAAACACCGTGGATAGTTTTCAATCTGTAATAGGTCTCTTGGCGTCCAGAGTGAAGACCCAGATTAGAATTGGGGATATTGAGGTGTTGGACCACCAAGAGAAAAGTGTGTGACGCACCAAAAACAACTACAATAGTTTTTTTTGATAATTATTATTGTGTATAACTAATTCATTTTTCGCCACAATTTAAAATAAAAGTTGACTAATTTTTTACGCTTGCGTTTAGCAAGCGTTATCAAATCGGAATATAGACTTTCGGGTTAGCAAATTGTTTAACAGAATCACTTGTACAACTTGTACAGTGCTGATTTAAATTATCCGGACAAAATGAACAAAACTTGAATTTTCAAACACGGTTTTCTCAAATTGGGTTAAGATTAGAAAAAAGTGAAGAGAACAAAATTTGCTTAGATTTTGACCAGCATTAATATGGGTCAATTTTTTCCGAAATTTTCAGCCAAATTTTTACCCCAAAAATGGGTCAATTTGACTTTTTTGAATTAATCAAAAGTTACGCTGGAACTATTTTGTTAATTGATGAGGGATCACCAGAAGCCTCTTACACAGCACAACAAAGTTCTAGAAGGGTTAAATCTCCAAAAACCTGTATAAGAGAAAATATTTTTGCTTGATAGTCAAGAAATGTGATTTTTACTAAATTAAATCCAAAATCTTTCCTTAAAAACAATTTACACAAATTTTTGGAGATTTAACCCTTCTAGAACTTTTTGGGCTCTGAAAAGGCTTATTGTGATATATATTTCTCATCAATTAACAAAGTAGTTTCAGCGTAATTTTTGAGTAATTGAAAAAAGACAAAATGACCCGTTTTTGGGGTAAAACTTTGGTTGAAAATTTTGGAGAAAAATTTGCACCATATTAATTCTGATGAAATTCTAAGCAACTTTTGTTCTTTTAACTTTTTGTCTAATCTTAGCCCAAATTGTGAGAAACGCTTTTAAAAATTCAAATTGTTTGGATAATTTAAATCAGGACTGTATCTTGGTTCATATCGAATTCAAGTTTAGAAGCGACTCGGGAACACTTAGTCTGGAGGTAATGAATACGCCTGGGACGGCAAAGGTTCCATATTCAATTTTTTTTCGAAGAATTCCGTTTTAAATAAATTGTCGGCCTATTTTTTGTCTGCTTATGTTTTGTCGGCTTAGTTGCCACATCTCAGAATTCTAAAAACTCAGAATAGAATTTATAGTTTAGTTTTTCATGTCAACAATCAATTTTGTTGTCGCTCGATAATTGTTTTTGAATATTCATTAAACGCCGTCGAATGTGTTTCTGAACGTGTTTTCAGCAAATAGAACATCATTACAGGCAATTTTTTGAGTTATTTTTATTTGTGGGTTCTTCGAAAAATTGTTTGTTTTATGACCTAGTGGCTCTCCTTTCTTTTACTGTTTGCTATCTTGCAATGCTATTTTTTGTGGTATCGCAAGTGATGCGAAGCTCCACTTCGCATCTGTTAAAATTAATTTTTCGAATAGACGAAAGCAAAGGGCCTTCATAAGAACTGAGTTGATCTGAAGGCCCATACTCGGTGATTTACGGTACTTTTATAGATTCGGTCGCAAAATGACGGCACAAACTTCGATAGATGTTTGAGATATTTTAAGAATGGCCATCGATGTTTGTCTAGTCGACAAAGAATAAGAATACGATGTGAACCAGTGAATTGCCTTAAGTTTTTTCAGTTGAGGATGTTAACGCATGCTTGATCCATGACTTTTCACAGAGACCTTCTCCAGTAAAGTTTCAATCCAAGAAACTCTTAAATTTTGTAAATTTTGACTGATGTCAAACTCCATGACAGGTATTTAGTCAAACTGATTTCAAGATATATTTTGTTCCAGGGGTGAAAAGCAACTATCGCTTATGATGGGTGATTGTTGAGAAAAATCAAGTACTTAAAAGAAAAGTTTTCAGACATCGAGTTTGTCATCATACTAAGCTTTTTCATTTGTGCTTTCGATACCGAAAAGTCTTTTGTCTTTGTCGAGATAAATCCGGCTGAATATTTCTTTTGTTAAACCAATTTTCCCGAAGAGTCTCTTCTAGCCTAATTGTACAGAGGATTAGTAAACTTGTCTTGGAGCATTTTCAAATCACTCATGCTACCCAGGAAGTTGGCTACAAAAATAATAAAAAATGTATTTGTTCTTTGTTTTTTTTCCGGCATATCTCTAATGAGCTTGCGAGCAGGCTACTTTTTAAGAGTCATGAACGTAGTAAAAATATTCTTATATACGTGATTTTTTTCGTTAGTTTTTTTCAAGAAAAATCTGAAATATTGTTGAGGATCAAATTCGACGTTTGAGGTTTGACTTTTGATTTCGTTTTATGTTCAGTTCGTTTTAAGTTTAGTTCAGTGTTATAGGAAGGCAAACTCCACTATCAAACAGTAAAAAGGTAAAGGTCACAAAAAGTTGATCGATTCTTGGTTCAAAATGGAAGTTAGTTTTCAGATTTCCCAGCGAAATAAAAAGTTTACTTAATGATCCAAATTTCTCAAATTGGGTCAATTTTATCGAAAAAGGTTTATGAAAATGTTTTTGGAAATTTGCAACTGTTGTTAGTATTCTGAATTTTAGATTTGCTGTTCGAGATATTTGAGCGTTTTTTTGGCCTCGAAATGTTAGTTTAGCATATATCATTTATTTAATCTTATGTCGCGAGATATTTCGGAATGAGTATCTCTGAACTCTGAAGTAAACAACTGGAAATACTTTGGACAATGATGAATGGAAGGATGTATATTATCTCGATTACACTGCCAACTACTTAAACTTTGAACTCGCTGTCAAAGCTACTTGAGCGCCATATAGCCTTGAGAAAAATTTTCAATATATGTAATCTCATCTTATGAAAAGACAATAGAAATTAGTTTCTCTTACCTCCCCCCCCCCCCAAAAAAAAAGGGAACTGGAAATAGTTCGGTCATTGATGAATGAAAAATTGTATTTTATCTCGTTTACTGTGCTAAGTGGTTTTCATTTTGAACTCGCTGTCCTCAAGCTAATCGAGCACTCTTTAGCCTCGATATTTTTGTGCAGCATATATAATCTCATCTTATATCGCGAGGTTTTTCAAAATGAATATCTCTGAACCTTAACGTAAACAATTGATATTATTACTTTAATTGGTGAATGAAAAATTGTATGTTATCTCGATAACTGATTTAATTTTTTGCAATTTGAGATTTTTATCTCGATAACTGATTTAAGTTTTCCAATTTGAGTTTAGCTTTTCAAGCTACGCGAGGCTGTTTTGCCTTGATATATTTGTGCAGCTAATATTATCCCACTCTATGTCGCGAGATGTATCAGAATGAGTATCTCTGAACCCTAAAGTAAACAATTTTCGATTCGGCGAATTTTGATTTGGTGGCTATTAATGGATCCTGTCTTGGACACAGTTCTATTTTCGAGTTGTTTAGGCATCAGAGAAGCTAGAATTTGACATGATAGTGAACTGAATCAATGGCTATTGTCAAAAATTTTTGTCAGACCAAGAATCGGCTCGATGATTAGAACTGGATTACTGCGATTAAAAAGTTTTTACATGCGAGATGGCACCTTTTGACTTGAGAAGGCAAAGTGAACTAATGAACGAAAAAAGATAAATTATTGTTATAATTCGATTGCTAAAACCTAGTCAAAGATTTTTTTCTATAAAAGAGATGCCATCTTGTAAAACTTTTGACATTTTATAACACGGAATAATCTTCTCACGCCTTTAGTTGCAAAAAATCATGTTTGCTCTCGATTATCAAAATGTGTTCTTTTTTAGACCGAGCCGAGTATAAAATGTGCTCCAATTGACATTGACAAGACAAAAGTTCTTCGAACTGTTCAAATAGAAATGAGACTGCGATGAAACTTATCTGAAAACAACAGTGAATTGATAAATTAAAATGTTGATTGAACTTAATATGTATGTGATAATGAAAAAGTAAGAGAGTTGTTTCTACGAATACAAAGAAATGAGTTTGCCTAGAATCACCTACTGCCCCGAGTGTTCCAAGTTGTTTTAAAGTCAGTCACATATTTCGGAGCTAGTAACGCAATATATGGACCAATTAAATTGCGTCAATTCAGCTAGAAATGATTTCTGATCAGTATTAGTTCGCCGCACTTAAAATCGTACTTGCTCAGAAATAATCATCTCTATCAATCCGCAATGGAAGGAAGGCATTTTTTACATTGGCGATAGGAAAGGGTATTGCAATCGGGTACCTGCCTCTTTTTCCCGTAAATAACTTTGTTCACAGGACTCATCTCCTGGATCCTGGTCTCATTCATCTATTCGGCCTCTCTGTTGCAACATTTTAATCAAGGTTTGCTCAGATATTTTCGGCGTTTTTACCGCCTGTTGAAATTTTGCTCCCATGCTAATTCGGCATTCTATTGTCTAGGCATGTTTTTTATAGCTATCTTCATTCATTTCAATAGATTTAGTTGTATTGCAGATGATGCGAAGCTCAGCTTTGCCTCTGTATTGTAAATTGATTCAGTGATCTGAAAAAAAAAGAGGAAAATTCGATTTGTGGAACGCAATTTGTTACTAGCCTTGACTCCTCATGACTCAGGGAGAAAAGGAATATCTTAGTACAGTTGCTAGCTTTAGCGAGCGTAGTGTATTTGTATGAACCTACTTTTTTCAAGATAACTCGCAAAGGAAAATGCTCATTTGGTGGCTACTAGCTGCTGTCACGGTCTGTAGCATTAGAAATGTCATAGAATCTGCTCTGCATTGTTTGTTGGCTTTTGTTTGTCGATCGATTAGCGTCCATGGTCGAATGGGAAGGAAGTGAGATGCTTGTTTTCGAGGTCGCTGGTTGGAATTCGCCTCGTCTTTTTACTAATTTGAGGCTTACTTCACTATCTAGAGCTGCGTCTTAATCGTTTCCTCACTAGTGTTTCCGAAGCACAGCTTCGCCTCTGTTTAAAATTTACGAGCTGTTAGCCATTTATCCACTCAATCTGCAAAAGAATACAAACTGAAGGCGTTTCAGAGTCTCCGAGTAATTTTGTTCTCATGTTTGTTCTCAGACTGGAAACGTTGAAGCTCAAGGATTCCCTTTTTTTCACTCATTATTTCTGTAAATGGTCATGTGAGAACAGCTGCTCACAGAAATAATAAAGATTGAAGAT